CCGGAGACCCTTTTTACTGGAAACGAGGCATTCCATCTTAGTCTTCACGGGTGACAACGCATCTGCACACTGTCTATGGGCCACAACAACCACTTACCATCAGGTGGACTGTGTGCTCGTTTGTCACCCTATCCTATAAAAAAATAAAATTAGATTCAGCCCTAACATACTCCTTAGCGACCGCATTTCTACTACATTTATTCTACTCTCGTGCTTCTTCTGCCACACCCAACGTTCACTACCATACGTTAAAGTAGGGACTAATACAGCATCGTGAATTGCCATACCTGCCTTCTTTGACACATTCTGACTTTTCACAATAGAGTGTAGAGCCCCATTTACTTTATTTCCTGCATTCACTCGTCGTTCAATATCCTTATCATATCTCCCATCCCTGCTGAATACGCATCCCAAATATAAGAACTCATCCATTTGCTCAATTAACTCTCCTTCTATTCTTATTTCACATACCGTTTTGCTTTCTTCTCTTTCAAAAACCATCACTTTCGTCTTACTTGCGTTCACTTTAATTCCCCTTTCTTTTAATGACCTGTTCATTAATGTAACCATCATTTGCAATTCAGCCGCCGACGACGCCAGTATGACTTGATTATCGGCGTACAAAAGGCATTTGATGATTAACTCACCCGTTTTTAATCCGCATTCTTCAACTTTCAAATTTTCCAAACAGCTGTCCATAAATAGGTTGAACAGCCACGGGGAAGTTACACAGCCCTGTCTGACACCTTTATGGATGCCAAACCAGTCCGAGTAGACCTCGTTGATTCTAACACAGTTTTTCAATAAGTATTATGTAATAATCTAATAATCTATATTGAATTTTTAAAAAAAATCATTCGTTCATTTACCCTTGGACTCTGGCATGGACAACCTGCAAATGCATGCCATCTCAGTCCGATTGGGTGACAACGTATCAGCATTTTGATTCTGAATGAATGACCGGATGTAAATATTTATAAGCAAAAACCATTCCGAACGTAAGTGGACACGTGTAAAGGCATTCCATCTCATTCCGACTGGGTGACAACCTGTTTTTAATATTTCTATGGTGACAAAGTATCACCATTTTGATTCTGAATCTTTGAGCATTAACCGAATGCTGGTACTTTTATATGATAAAAAATTGATATATTGTGTTTTTAATTGAATAAGGGTGACGAACGAGCACACGGTCTACTTGATGTTAAGTGGATACTGTGGCCCATAGACATCTACATCTATTCTCAATAATTAAGGATCAAAATGTATATGCGCGATCCCTGAGGACTAAGATTAAATGCCTCGTCTTCAGCAAAATGGGTCTACGATTCTCTACACTCACCAAACGGAACAGCAACATTAGACTGCTACGAGTATTTTCTGCTGGTATTCCGTGAGAGCGTGGTCCATCTCCGGTCGAGTTGAGCCTTTCATGCTACAACCATAATATAGCTGCAGCGTGACTCTACCACCGTAACCTTTAAAAAAAAAAACGATCGATAACCTCAAACAGAAGCAATTATAAACTCGATTTACTTTTTAATGTATTAACTACGATTAACGATTTTATATTACACGATCAACTTAATTCGATTGCCATCGTCGACACCGATAAAATTTTAATTACAGTTTTACATAACGATTTAACAACGTTTCAGTAAAGTTATCAGCTGTGCGAAAAGCATCTACTTTTCTGTAAAATTAAAAATATTAAAGGACGAATTAGAGGACACGAAAATTAAACCTAATGATTTCTTATATTTATGCGAACACTACACATTAAAATAAAACTAGGTTTTACGGATTTTATCGCGTATAATAACTTATTTTATATTCCCGACGTTTCGAGCACTTTACAGCACCCATGGTCATGGGCAGGATGGCTTCGTCCAGGTGAATTTTCTTTAATTTTTACTCCGATATACGCAGTACGTACTTATAGTATCTAGAAGTCTGTAACTAAACTGTGACCTGCATTACAGTATCATAAAAGGGGATTCAGTGCTCTATTACCCTGTCAGAGATGAGTAGTTTCAACAACTCTGGTGGGTTGTAATACGTTCATTTGTAAAAGTAAGCCTTACAGGGTTTCTTGCTAGTTATTTACAAGACAAAAGTTTTGTAAATACCTAATGAGTTTTATTTATAATCTATACCGAACAAAAATACTTTATTCTATTCGTCTCCTTTATCATCAATATATTGCTGGATATTTCCACATCCATTGTTTGATTAGCTGTAAGTGGCGGAATCCATTACCACATTTCATCCTTTAGGCTGCAGAGGAAAATCAACAACACACAGCACACAGAACAGAGAATCAAATAAATCTTCCTAATGATAACTGAAAATAACAAAAAAAAATTAAATCTGAACTAGAACCAGAAACAGATGCAATCAGATGGTTCGAACTGCAAAACGCCGACATATCCATAAGAATATTATAAGCTCTTCGCCAGCCGGCACTTGGAAGTTTCTTAATTCCCTTTCTTTTTCCTTTTTCTTAATTCCTTTTCTTAATTCCCTGATATAGGGTCAATATCTCTCAGTGATCTTAATAAACACTTCTCCTCGGCAACTAAAGTCGATAATTCCATTAAACTTAGAACTATTTCTCTTATCTTATCACTTCCCAAAATTGACGCAAACTGCTTTGCTTTTTCTCCAATAACTGATGAAGATGTCCGTAAAATTATTTTTTCCATTAAATCTAAAGCAGCTGGCTATGATGATGTGAGTAGAAATATGATTATCCCCATACTTGAAAACATTCTCCCAATCATTACCCACATCATCAATTTTTCTTTTTCTACTGGGGTTTTTCCATCTTTTTGGCGTAAAGCATTTGTCCTTCCACTTCCCAAGTTAAATAATCCCAGTTCTGTTAACCATTTCCGACCAATTTCTATACTTCCCTTTCTTTCAAAGATTTTAGAATCAGCTGCATACAAATAACTATCCAGCTACATTTATAAAAATAATCTTCTTAGTCCCTTACAATCAGGTTTTCGTCCTGGGCATAGTACAACCACTGCTCTCCTTAAAGTTCTTGATGATGTACGGGAGGGTATGGAAAAATCAAAATTAACGGTTCTCGTATTAATTTAATTGACTTCTCCAATGCTTTCTGTACAGTCGATCATGACGTTCTTCTTGCTATCTGTAAACACATGGGTTTCTCTTCGTCAGTTTTGGATTGGTTATCAACTTATCTTCGTGGTCGCCAGCAAAGAGTTAAAGTCAACCAACAGTCTTTCTCTGATTGGTCTGATCTTACTACTGGCGTTCCACATGGAGGCGGAATTCCTTCTCCTTGTATTATTTTTGCATGGCTATTTTTACAAATCTCATAACTGTGAATTTCAAATGCTCCTACCATCTGTATGCTGACGATTTACAGCTGTACGCTCGGATTGATCCAGCAGAGGTTAACTCCGGATCGAAATTTTAAATTTAGATCTTGAGGCCATTTTTGGCTGGTGCAGAAATTATAGAATTGCTGTCAATCCTATTAAATGTCAAGCGATAATTCTCGGTAGTCCTCGCCGTATAGCTAAATTAGATTTTAATTCACTGGAGCCTATCGTTTACGATAACACAATAATTCCTCTTAGTCATGTAGTTAAAGATCTTGGGTTAATGATTGATGCTAATTTAAGTTGACAATCTCAGATGGCTGAAATAAGCCGGAGAGTGACAATCACCCTGCGTGGCCTTTATCGTTTCAAGAATTTCCTTCCAACCGAGACTAAGGCTTGTTGGTGCGTGCGCTTGTTTTACCAGTCATTGATTATGCTGATGTGTGTTACTCTGATGTGAGTCAAGTACTTCTGTGCAAATTGGATCGTTTGCTAAATAATTACATCCGTTTTATTTTTGGCCTTCGTGAATACGATCATGTATCCATATATCGTTCTAAGCTTAAATGGCTCCCTATCCATCAGCGTAGATGTATCAAAATTCTTTGCTCGCTTTTTTCAATCCTGTATGATCCATGCACTCCCCAATACCTGAAAGGCAAGTTTCAGTATTTGGATTCTTCTCACGATCGTAACCTGCGATCCTCCGAGAGAACTACCTTATGTGTTTTTCCTCACCGTACCAAATTTATGTCTCAGTCTTTCGCCGCTGAGGCCATAAGGCTATGGAATAAATTAACCCCCTCATATCAGGAAACCGACTTCTGTTGCTACCTTTAAGAGGATGGTGACTGATCACTACCTTTCTTCTTCCAGCAACTAACTTTCATATTTAATTGTTTCTGCTTACATGTGACTTGACATTACAAATTATTCAAATTGTTTTAGTATAATATGTACATATGTAAGTATGCTTAAAACGTATGTATTATGTACTATTTAAACATTATGTATGTAATGTATCAGGTATTGAGTATATTACTTAGGTTAATTGTAGTTGTGTATATTTATTTTTGTATTTATACTTATGGTATATGTATATTTATATTTACATTCACGTATAAATTATCCTCATATTTTATGGCACCTGCTAAAGTTCTCTGCTTAGCTCGTGGTTGACTGGTAGAGAATGCCTAAAGGCATTGAGTCCGCCAATTGTACATTTTAAATGCAATAAAGTTTTTAAATAAATAAATAAATCTCAACGATTGTTAAGTTGCTAAGTAAGTTGTAATTACGGCTGTTGTGGATGGATAGATGGTTTGCTGGACATGCTAAACAACTCTCCCATAGTTAATTAATTAATGATTTGAGAGCGTGGTTCATCCCCGGTCGAGCTACAACTATATAGCTGCAACATGACTACCACATTTACCCAATTTTAAAATTTCACTTCTTAGCATTGTAAATGTGTTAACACTCGCTGTCGGTCCCACGGTTTACTAATTTGAATGCAGTATACTTTCTGATACATTTTCATCTAATTAAAATTATGCACCAAAAGAAGTAAAGAGAGTAATCAATGGCCCCGGTGACTTCTTAATTAGCCAACACATAGTGCCCTTCAAATGTGTAATATTAATGAAGACCTGTTGGGTACAGGTATGCGCACTAGCGAAGCAGCTGGATATGACGGAGCGACAGGTGGAGCGCTGGTGGAGGCTCCGTCGTTCCCAGGAGAAGCCCTCGACACTAGTCAAGTTCTGCGAGAACGCCTGGCGATGCTTGTTCTACTTATACAACTTCTCATACGGCCTGTTTGTATTGTGGGACAAGGAGTGGTTGTGGGACATCGACCAGTGTTATATTGGATACCCTCATCAGGTGAGAAATGTTCTACGCAATATTTATATACAAATAAAGTATACATATACTATATAAAAGTATACGCGTGGTAGAGCTACGATGCAACTGTATATGGTTGTAACACGAGTGGGTCGGCTCGACCGGGGCAGGACCACGCTCTCACAGAATACCATTACGCGTACACAATACATAATTACATAAACACGTCTGTCAACCAGAGGGGTAGACAGAGACTACAGACTTCCATTTGGCACGATCCTGACACACCTCTCTTATACCTATGCATACTTGCTCGTCGGTTAAGTGTACTCTTAATTTGGCTCATTTTCAATATATCGCCAATTTGGTCGATAAACTTTCGCCTGGGACGTTCCTTTCCGACTCTTCCGTTCACTTGTGCAAACAAAATTTTCTTTGTCACTCTTTCCTCATTCATTCTTTTCTGAACTCGTCACAACATCATCTTTCAAACCACACTCTCCTCTTATTAGACAACTTCTCACCCTGTCACTCAGATTAAGCCCTAACATTCTCCTTAACGACCGCATTTCTACTGCGTTTATTCTACTCTCGTGCTTCTTCTGCCACACCAAACTTTCACTACCTTACGTTAATGTGGGGGCTAACACAGCATTGTGAATTGCCATACGTGCCTTTTTTGACACATTCTGAGTTCTCCACAATAGAGTGTAGAGCCCCATTTACTCTATTTCCTGTGTTCACTCGTCGTTCTAAATCCTTATCAATATCTCCCATCCCTGCTAAACCAGCGTAAAATAGGAGCTTAATGCTTCTGTGTTTCATATGGTGAGTGTATAAAGCAGAGACCCTTCTTACTGGAAGCAAGGCATTCCATCTTCGTGGTGTGACAACGCACCTGCGTTGTGATTCTTAATCAAGGATAAATGTAGATGTCTATGGGCCACAGATCTAGCAAGCGTAACATAACGAGGTCGGGAAGCAGCTTGAAAGGCGCGAAACATCTGGTACACACACGCGTGCGCGCGCGTGTGTGTACCAGATGTTTGCGCACAGATACACTTTGGACCGGAACACAGCAGTGGAGGTACTGGTATTTGACTAACGAAATAGGTGAACGATATCTACCTAGCCAGACAGACTTCTTGGTAGAAAACAAGTCATTACATTAATAATTTGAAAGGGGAACAACAAACCCGGATGGAAACTTGGTCAAGTAAAGGTGATAAGTGCCCGCAGGCAAACACGGACTATCCGACACTATTCCGATGATATCCAGGACGTCAGTCTGATCGAGATTAGAATAGCTCTCCAGCACCTTAAAAACGGCAAGGACCCAGGCGAGGATGGAATTTCAGCGGAGCTTCTGAAAGCGAGTGGAAAACCGGTCCTTCAGAAGCTATTCAATTCCGTTCTTCATGTTGGCTCTATTCCGGAGGCGTGGAGCAGAAGTGCGGTGGACTTGCTCTTCAAGAAAGGCGACAACGCTCTCTTGAAGAACAACTACAGACTGATTTCTCTTCTGAGCCGCGTCTACATACTGTTTTCGAGAGTCATTACGAATCGTCTCGCACGCAGTCTCGACGACTTCAAGTCTCCCGAACAAGCCGGTTTCCAAAAAGGCTTCAGTCCTATAGACCACATATATATTCTGCGGCAAATTGTACAGAAGACCGAAGAATATAATCTGCCACTTTGCCTTGCGTATGTGGACTATGAGAAAGCCTTTGATTCCGTCGAAATTTGGGCGGTGCTACAGTCCCTTCAGCGGTGCCAAATTGACTGTCGGTATATCGAAGTGCTGTAGGGTATGTACATTAGAGCTACGATAGCTATCCGAGTACAGAACCAGAATACGAAACCTATCCAACTACAGAGATGTGTAAGACTGGGTGATGTTATATCTCCGAAACTCTTCACCGCTGCGTTGGAAGATGTTTTCAAGCTACAGAACTGGAAAGGATACGGTATTAACATCAATCGCAAGTTATTCACTCTCCTTCGATTTTCCGACGATATTGTCCTTATGGAAGAATCGCTGGAGGACCTAAGCACTATGCACAATGACCTTAATAGTGTCTACCAACGGATAGGTCTTATGATGAACATGGACAAAACAAAGATGTGTAATGTCCATGTCACACCTATGCCGGTAGTTGTTAGGAGCACTCAGCTCGAAGTTGTTGACGAGTACGTTTACTTAGGACAAATAGTCCAACAAGTCCAACTTTGAGCGAGAGGTCAATCTACGGATTCTACTCGGCTAGACAGCGTTCGAGAAATTACGACACATCTTCTCGTCAGGTATACCTCTAAACCTGAAAACTAGATTGCACAACCAGTGCGTATTGCCGTATGCAGATCTGAGACGTGGTCCTTCACTGCTGGCCGTATGAGGACGCTCAAGGTCACTCAGCGAGCTATAGAGGGGGCTATGCTCGGGGTTTCTCTGCGTGATAAACGTAGAAATGAGAATATAGTAGCAGTAAAACCAGAGTAACCGGCATAGCCTAACAGATTAGTAAGCTGAAGTGGCAATGGGCCGGCCGTATAGCTCGAAGAACCGACAACCGATGGAGAAAAAAGGTTCTCGTACCGTTAGGAGTAGTGTAGGGCAACCCCCAACTAGATGGAGTGAAGACCTGGTTAGACATGCAGGAAGTCGATGGACGCAGGTGGCTCAGGACCGTGCTTTATGGCATTCCTTGGGGGAGGCCTATGTTCAGCAATGGACTTGTGAAGGGCTGTAATGATGATGATGATCATTCAATTAATTCAAAATTCGATTTGGGTAGAGTTAATGCTTAACTTCCACATAATATGTGTATAAAGTGTATTTATTCCAGGGGGTGACAACCGATGTGAGTTGGTACTACATGGTTTCATCGGCATTCTACTGGTCGCTGACCATATCCCAGTTCTGGGATGTGCGGCGGAAGGACTTTTGGCAGATGTTCATACACCACCTGGCGACCATCGCACTCCTGTCCTTCAGCTGGGTGTGCAACCTTCACAGGATCGGTACGCTCGTGTTATTGGTGCACGATTGCGCTGACATACTTCTAGAAGTGGGTATTTGGTGGATTTTTTTCTTTTTTCCTTCTCTAGGAGCGTATGAATCCAGTGTTGTACTTTGATAAGCTATAATGATGTGACGACGCCGGGGCGCTATGGCGTATCATTAAGTTCGACGCCGAGGGCAGCGTGATCGAATCCCGCACGGAACAATATTTTTTTTAATGTTGGCAATGCTTTTAACATTACTAACATTATCTTTAACCACACCTGATAAGCTCAAAGTTCAAATGCTTGTCAAAGGAATGGTTCACGATAGTGTCGAATAGCAGATATGAACCGACCACGACCTTTTCAGTTTTAGGTCTATACCCTGTGGATACTGTCGCTTCTGTAATCGCTTTCACTATTACTGATTAACTTTTCCCGGTCTGGATATTTTTACGTATGCAATTTATGGAAAGTAAACTGCCTCCACGATACGGGAGAAAATCCTAGTGTATAACGTTTTAAAAATTATGATAATCATGAGATGACATTAAATACTCGCCTACCTAGGGTTGTCACCCGTACTATAATATATGGCATCGTACTATATATCAGTCAATTGTACTATATATTATAGAAAAATGATATACTACGAAAAATACTGTATTTTTATCCCTAATTCAACTGTCGCACTTTCTTTTATTAACTATAATTAGAAGTCTGGAATAAGTAAGTTTTACGGAAATAATTTTTTCCATCATTAATGTAAAATTTAAAGAAGATAGAAATAGAGCATGTATTATGTAGTTTGATTAAAATTTTATTATTAATTTAATATGAATCAAAATTTCACAAACTCCTATTTAATTTCTAATTATTTTAAAGGCAAGGTAGAAGGTACGGTGGTTATATTTTATAAGTTCGTTTTGTTGTAATTCCTATTCTGTTTCAGGTTGCTAAGGCGGCGAAGTACGCGAACTACCAGAAGCTATGCGACTCGCTGTTCGCGATATTCACAGTGCTCTGGATTATCACGAGGCTGGGAATATATCCATTTTACATCATCTGGAGGTGAGTGGAGTTTTGTTAATGGCATCAGGGGCACTAAGTCCAATTGTCATATTGTATCAACACCTTCTTCATACCATAAAAGCAAGTTAGTAGTGCCGTTTACTCGACTCCTCACAGTCAGTTTTGGCTTTTACAACAAAATCTCAGAAAATATACAAAACCGACTTCCATATTTAAAAACTTTATTTAAAAAAAACAATGTTAATATAAAAAGGGTTATAATAATATTAAGGAATTTATGGGTTCTAATAACCCCTGGGTACGAGGAAATTGCTACCATGCTATTTCTAATTTATTTTGTGTGGTTTTCTGTTGCGTAACTTTATAAATTTTCCCAACCAGTAATAAATTAAATATAGGAGTAATTTTAATTATTTATAATCTATGCTGAATAAAAAAGTTTCATTATATATATAATAATACATATTCTAATTTTATTACAGTTATATTAGTAATTTGCCCACTCAATAAAATTCATTATTTACCATTATATCGACCTAGGTATTTAATTTATTTGTATGTGTATATTAAGTATATTTGTGTGTATGTATAAATATACTAATAATAATAATAATAATTTATTTATTTCTCACCACATACGACATGGAAGATACATTAGTGTTACATCTCTATTTTAACAATATTTTGTCATTCATGGGAGACTGGTGCCCGTGTAGGTTCAAAGACCCGTAGTATAATATTATAAGGAGATCACTTATGTTATGGTTAGAAATAATATTATTTAGAGAAAAAATAAAAAAAAAATAAAAAAAATAAAACCACGTATTTTTGTAGCGTAAGTATGAGAGTTTGTGACTGTTAGCATGTCTGCGTGTACGTCTGTGAATATTTATGAGATAATTTGGAGTAATTGTTCAGTATCTGTGTATGAAAGAGTCTGAAGATATTCCACGAGTCTATTTTTACATGACCATCTGTTGACTTCATAAATAGACAATTTTTGGTGTAATTTATTATATAAATACGGACCCAAAAAAGTAAAGAATTCCTAGCAAAAGTTGTGAAGAAAGGCACTGACTGAGCTACCAGATGATTACGGCGGCAATGTTCCCTTTGAGTTATTTTTGAAATTGCATGTTGTCTTAAAACTATATGTAGCACAATACTATATTTTTAACAAAGTTTCATATTATTTCAAGAACAAAAAGATGATTGTTGTTACATACTAGGGCGTACATGCACAGACCGCGGCCCGCCGGTCGTATACTGGTGGCCCGCCGACAGCAAAAATAATACTCTCGTACATTCGAAAAATATTGAATTATATTCCAGAATAAAACCAAAAAAAAAATATGTTCGAAAAGTTATTTGAATCTCGCGCGTGCGCTCTTAAGTGCGCTTATCGGTGCGCCGTGCATGCGTCGGTAACAGCGGTCGGTAATGTTCGTGCTGATCTCGGTTAAATTCGTTTACTTAAGGAACCGCCGCGGCCGGCGGCGCGGGGACTACGGCAGCGTGGTGGCGGCTTATCCACGGGTTATATTGTTAGAGCAAGCGAGATAGCAATAGTCCCGAATTCTCGATTGCTCGCGTAGGTAGATACACGAAGCTTCCAGAGTCGGTTTCGTGATTTCTCCAGACAGTTTTCGACTCTATACGCGCGGTATAAAAGCCACGCTAACCGCAGCGACCGACAGTTCGCTGTATTCGTGTGCTGTGTTCGTTTAATTTGAGTGAAATGTCAATAGTTCTAGTGTAGATTTTAACTCGACTAGCCGGTGTCATATATTTTGATCCACATTCGACGTAGATTTCCCGTCAAGTGCCGTGTATAATTGTGTTGTGAAATCGTAAGTAAAACTCTGTTATTAATAAGTGTTTCCCCACCTATTTAATCAATTATTTTTGGTAATTTAAAAAAGGATGGGTAACATAATGATTTCTTATATTTACGCGAACACTACACATTGATTAAAACTTTAAAATTATAAAGGAGTGTACAAGCTTGATTGTGAATGTGGTCTCTCTTATATAGGACAAACAAAAAGATCAATTAGAACCCGCGTAAAAGAACATATAGGTGATGTGAAGCATCAACGTTCCGGGAAGTCTGCAGTTTGCGATCATATCTTAGAATTCCACAACCATTACATCAGATTTGATAGACCACAAATCCTCGCGAAAGAACCCCGATTCCTGCCAAGGATGATGCGTGAGGCTATTGAAATTTAAAAACATCCTAATATCAATAGAGAAGGAGGCTGGGTACTACCACCTGCTTGGGATCCTATAATCAATAAAATTAAAACTAAACCCAAGCATACCACTGCAAGACCTCAGGACATAGTCAGTTCATTTTGCATACATCGGACCATAAACAATAATTAAAAAAGCTGAAGGTACTCCGGGTACTGAGTATGGCAGCATCGTTTCCGGGACACCTGAGATTTTGAGTGAGATTGAGAGGTTCTATGGGCAGCTGTACACATCATCGTTGGAGCCACACGCAAGTGTGAGTAACGATCCAGGAGCAAGTCTTATCCGACACTATTCCGATGGTATCCCGGACGTCAGTCTAAGCGAGATTAGAATGGCTCTCCAGCATCTTAAAAACGACAGGGCCCCAGGCGAGGATGGAATTACAGCGGAGCTTCTGAAAGCGGGTGGAACACCGGTACTTGAAGTCCTTCAGAAGCTCTTCAATTCCGTCCTCCATGGTGGCACTACTCCAGAGGCGTGGAGCAGAAGTGCGGTGGTCTTGTTCTTTAAGAAAGGCGACAACGCTCTCTTGAAGAACTACAGACCGATTTCCCTTCTGAGCCGCGTCTACGTGCTGTTTTCGAGAGTCATTACGAATCGTCTCGCACGCCGGTTTCCGAAAAGGCTTCAGTACCATAGACCACATACATACCCTGCGGCAGAATGTACAGAAGACTGAAGAGTACAATCTGCCACTTTGCCTGGCGTATGTGGACTATGAGAAAGCCTTTGATTCCGTCGAAATTTGGGCGGTGCTACAGTCCCTTCAGCGGTGCCAAGTTGACTGTCGGTATATCGAAGTGCTGAAGTGTTTGTACAGTAGGGCTACGATGGCTATCCGAGTACAGAACCAGAGCTCGAAACCTATCCAACTGCAGAGAGGTGTAAGACAGGGTGACGTTATATCCCCGAAACTCTTCACCGCTGCATTGGAAGACGTTTTCAAGCTACTGGACTGGAAAGGATATGGTATTAACATCAATGGCGAGTACATCATTCACATTCGATTTGCCGACGATATAGTCCTTATGGCGGAATCGCTGGAGGACTTAAGCACTATGCTCAATGACCTCAATAGTGCCTCCCAACGGATAGGTCTTAAGATGAACATGGACAAAACAAAGATCATGTTTAATGTCCATGTCACACCTATGCCGGTAGTTGTTGGGAGCACTATGCTCGAAGTTGTTGACGAGTAAGTTTACCTGGGACAAATAGTCCGACTAGGTAAGTCCAACTTCGACCGAGAGGTCAATCGACGGATTCAACTCGGCTGGGCAGCGTTCGGGAAATTACGACATATCTTCTCGTCAGGTATACCTCAATCTCTAAAAACTAGATTGTACAACCAGTGCGTGTTGCCAGTGATGACTTACGGATCTGAAACGTGGTCCTTCACTGCTGGCCGTATGAGGACGCTCAAGGTCGCTCAGCGAGCTATGGAGAGGGCTATGCTCGGAGTTTCTCTGCGTGATAGACTCAGAAATGAGGATATCCGCAGTAAAACCAGAATGACCGACATAGCCCAACGGATTAGTAAGCTGAAGTGGCAATGGGCCGGCCATATAGCTTAAAGAACCGATAACCGATGGGGAAGAAAGGTTCTCGAGTGGCAGCCTCGTACCGGTTAGGCGTAGTGTAGAGCGACCCCCCACTAGATGGAGTGACGACCTGGTAAGATATGCAGGAAGTCGATGGATGCAGGTGGCTCAGGACCGTGCTTTGTGGCATTACTTGGTGGAGGCCTATGTTCAGCAGTAGACTTGTGAAGGGCTGTAATGATGATGATGATGATGATGATGACTCCGGGTGTAACAATGACATCGGGACGTCAGTCATCTCAGTCCCCCGTGACCATGGGTGCTGGAAATCGCCCGAAATGTCGGGAATTAAAAATAAAAGTAATTAAAAGTAAAATAAACGCGATAAAATCCGTAAAAGTAGTTTTAATCAAGGATGGGTAATTTAAGTAGGTACTGTAATTGTTTTTAGGTGCTGTGTTAATCCTAGCCAGGATTAGAACGCAACATGGACAAGCCAGGACCTAGTAAAAAACGTAAGGTTAAAGATGAAAATCGGCAGTTTCAAGAAATTTGGACTGAGAAATACTTTTTTGTATGGTCGCATAACAAAGTCGTTTGTTTAATTTGCAAGAATTCTGTTGCGATTACAAAGGAATATAATGTAAAAAGGCAATATGAAACGCAGCATCCTACTTTTACCAAGTTGGTAAAGGCTGAATTAAGAAAGCAAAAAATTTTGTCTTTAAAACGGGAGCTTATTGGTCAGCAAGCTATGTTAACAAAACCCATTCAAGATTCAGAAACAGCTACAGAAGTTAGTTATCAAATTTCTCGAATGATAGCAAAGCGAAGTCGCCCCTTCAATGATGGGGATTTTGTACAAGAATGCATAGAAATTGCCGCAAAGAAAATGTGTCCAGAAGCAGCAAAAAAGTTTGAGAAAATTCAACTGAATCGTATGACTATCCAAAGACGAATTATGTCTGTCGGGTAATATTGCGGAACAGTTAAATGAAAAAACGAAGATCTTGGACGATTCCACTGATTAGTTCCACAGCTCAACTTCTGATATTCATACGAGGTGTTACTCAAGATTTTGAAGTCTTAGAAGAGTTATTAGGAATGTGTTCATTGAAAGGTCAAACCAGAGGAGTTGATATACTCAATGTACTTTTGGACGAGTGTTCAAAAACTGATTTGGACTTATCAAAATTATCGGGAGTTACGACTGACGGTGCTCCTTCGATGATTGGTGTCAATTCTGGGCTAGTTACTTTGCCGAAAAAGCATCTGCAAGAAAAAAACATAAACGCTGAAGATCTCATGCAGTTTCACTGCATTATACACCAAGAAGCCCTCAGTTCTAGAAAAATTGAATTTCAAAATGTCATGAAAGTTGTAGTTTCGACTGTAAATTTCATAAAATCACGAGGACTCAATCACAGGCAATTCAATCAATTCCTTGATGACATCGAAAGTGAATATGGAGATTTACTGTATTATACAGAAGTAAGGTGGCTAAGTCGTGGATTGACACTAGAACGATTTCTAAATGTAATGGAAGAAATTGGAATATTTCTGGCGGAAAAGCAAAGGGATGTCCCGGAACTTAAAAATCCTGATTGGTTGTGTGATTTGGATTTTTTAGTTGATATTACAAATCATTTGAATGTCTTGAACACAGGGCTTCAAGGCAAAAATCAACTGATATCCCAGCTTACGCTCATGTATCATCCTTTCATTGCAAGCTGACACTTTTCAGATCGCAATTGAATTCTGGAAATTACAATCATTTTCCCAATTATAAGAAAATGGCTGAAAAATTCAACAAAACTGCGAATAATTTCAGTTATGTAGAAAAGCTAGATATTTTGATTCAATCTTTTCAAGACAGATTTTCGGAGTTTAAAAAAAGTGAAAACTCTGATGGACATATTCAGCAATCCTTTCACGATTTCAGTTGAAAATGCGCCAGAGTCAATGCAGTTAGAAATTATCGACATTCAAAACGACCAAGATTTACGCAACAAATTCAACGAAGGAGACTTGCTGAACTTTTACCGCTGCATTGATAAAAATACGTATTAAGAGTTGCGCATAAACGCTCTGAAATGTGCCAGCTTATTTGGTTCTACCTATGTATTATGTGAACAAACCTTTTCAATACTAAATAATAATAAAACAAAAAATCGAAACCGCCTTGCAAATGAAAGTTTGGAAGCAGTTTTACGTGTTGCTACAAGTAAATTTGAGTCAAATATAAAAAAGATTGTAAGCACTATGCAGTGCCACGCTTCGAATAAATAAATTCTTTTTCAATTTGAATATTGGTTGGGCTGAAAAGTTCGTATCGTCTCTATGAGATGGCGCCACTAGAATAAAATCCATATCATTTTTAGGTAGTACCAACCTTCAAAAGAAACGTGTATAAATTTGACAGCTGTCTGATTATTAGTTTGTGAGATACAGCATTTTGAGTGAAGCGACTTTTGTTATTTTGAAAAAAATGGATAAAAAGGAATTTCATGTTTTAATGAAACACTATTTTTTGATGAAAAAAAGTGCTGCTGATACCAAAAAGTGGCTTGATGAGTGTTATCCGGACTCTGCGCCGGGCGAAGCAACCATTCGTAAGTGGTTTGCCAAATTCCGTACAGGCCATATGAGCACCGAAGACGATGAACGCAGTGGACGTCCAAAAGAGGCTGTTACGGACGAAAACATAAAAAAAATCCACAAAATGATATAGGAAGATCGTAAATTGAGGTTGATTTGTATAGCTGGCACTCTAAAGATATCAAAGGAACGTGTTGGACATATCGTTCATGAATATTTGGGTATGCGAAAGCTATGTGCAAAGTGGGTGCCGCGCGAGCTCACAATCGACCAAAAACAAGAACGTGTCGATGCTTCAGATCAATGTTTGGAGCTGTTCAATCGCAATAGAAGTGAATTTTTGCGTCGATATGTGACAATCGATGAAACATGGATCCACCACTACACTCCGGAGTCCAGTCGGCAGTCATCTGAATGGACTGCACGCGATGAACCGAATCCAAAGCGTGGAAAAACTCAACAGTCGGCCGGTAAGGTTATGTCGTCCGTATTTTGGGATGCACATGGAATAATTTTCATCGACTATCTTGGAAAGGGAAAAAACCATCAACAGCGACTATTATATAGCGTTATTGGAGCGTTTGAAGGGCGAAATCGCGAAAAAACGGCCCCGTTTGAAGAAGAAGAAAGTGTTGTTTCATCAAGACAATGCGCCGTGTCACAAATCGATGAAAACGATGGCAAAATTGCATGAATTGGGCTTCGAATTGCTTCCGCATCCACCGTATTCTCCAGATTTGGCCACCAGCGACTTTTTCTTGTTCTCATATCTCAAGAGAATGCTCGCTGGAAAGAAATTTAAAGCCGATGAGGAAGTAATCGCCGAAACAGAGGCCTATTTTGAGGCTAAACACAAATCGTACTACAAAAATGGTATTGAAAAGTTGGAAGATCTCTATAATCGGTGTATCGCCCTCGACGGCAACTATGTTGAATAATAAAATCGAAATTTGCCAAAAAAATGTGTTTTTCTATAAAACGATACGAACTTTTCAGCCCAACGTTACATTATTATCAATTATTTATTGTCTTTAATTACCTATACGCCTGGCGGCCCGCCATCAGTTCATAATTACCTATACTTCTGGCGGCCCGCCATCGGTTCATAATTACCTATACTCCTGGCGGCCCGCCATCAGTTCATAATTACCTATACTCCTGGCGGCCCGCCATCAGTTCATAATTACCTATACTTCTGGCGGCCCGCCATCAGTTTATAATTACCTATACTTCTGGCGGCCCGCCATCAGTTCATAATTACCTATACTTCTGGCGGCCCGCCATCAGTTCATAATTACCTATACTCCTGGCGGCCCGCCATCAGTTCATAATTACCTATACTTCTGGCGGCCCGCCATCAGTTCATAATTACCTATACTTCTGGCGGCCCGCCATCAGTTCGTAATTACCAATACTTCTGGCGGCCCGCCATCAGTTCATAATTACCTATATTTCTGGCGGCACGCCATCAGTTCATAATTACCTATACTTCTGGCGGCCCGCTATCAGTTCATAATTACCTATACTCCTGGCGGCCCGCCATCAGTTCATAATTACCTATACTTCTGGCGGCCCGCCATCAGTTCATAATTACCTATACTTCTGGCGGCCCGCCATCAGTTCATAATTACCTATACTTCTGGCGGCCCGCCATCAGTTCATAATTTGCCCGAGTGGCCCCTAGTCTTAATAAGACTGTGCACTATACTGAAGAGAGATCTCGTCCATATTTTACGAGACTTAGTCTGGCACAATTTTTCTCCGAGATCTCGCGAGATTAAGCGAGGTAGCATAATCCGTGTGATAAATGAATCCTGATGGTAAAATATATATAGTTATAGTGTTTTATTTTGAAATAAAAAAGAATGTAATATATATATATATATATATATATACGAATTAACGTTTTCATTAAAAAAATACCTAATCTCGCCGGACCTCGAGTTTTACGAGAGACGCTCTATGGTCTTGCGAGATCTCGACTAGGTTTAAAATCTCGCGAGATTGCTATTCTCTCTATAATATGCCTGCCGCTATGGAAGCAAATTTAAAGAAGTCAAAAATTATCTAATACATAATGTTGACAAATGTGTTGGGCACCTATATTGTGATGGGCTAACCACTTAACTTTTCTTTCACAATTTACCATTGAAAACCTCTTTTTTTTTCTAAATGTGGTTTGAGTGGCGGTATATCACCCTCGTGCCTCGAAAAGCACGTAACGCCGTTGGTCCCGCGCCTGATCTCTCCGGTCGTGTCGGTTTACCGTTCCATCGGATTATGAGAGTGAGGGAATAGAGAGTGCACCTGTGTTACGGAAACACTTGGGCACTATAATCCTGTCCTGTGCAGATCTTGAAAGAGATAATTATATGTTAAAAATGCTTTATTTCAGCACAACGATCCGCGCTCCGATGCTGCTGCCGATGTTCCCCGCGTACTACTTCTTCAACGCGCTGCTGTGTCTGCTGCTGTGCCTACACATGGTGTGGACGTGGCTAATCCTGCAGGTAGCTTACAACGCCATCACTGCTGGAAAGGTCAGTACCTTTATAAAATGTGACTCAAATAAGAATAGAAACGTCAATGAACTATGATGACCGCGATTGTTGTCACTTGAAAAGTACGGCTAGCAAACAAAATAAAATTTCCACTTTTATATTAACTGAGCCTTAGTATTGAAGTCATAATTAGTTTTAAAAATAATTTCTAACTGCTTTTTCTATTTTCATTGTTGGCAACATTTCACCAAAAAGTAAATTATTTATTAATTCAATAAATAAAATAGTTAATTAGTAAAATTAAATTCATTATTGAAATCCTAGATTTGGATTAATACCTTTCGGTCATGGTTCTCGTAGCTCTAAGAAACTAAAATCGTTCGGCAAGATTGTTTCACAAGTGGCAGCCTCTACTCCGTACTGATTGTCAATCCGTTTACCGTGTGTAACGATTACTGTAAATACATGTGTACATATAATATTATAATATTATATATATATATATATATATATATATATATATATATATATATATATATATATATACTGATAAATGTAATGATTAGTAAGCTGAAGTGGTAATGGGCCGGCCATATAGCTCGAAGAACCGATAACCGATGGGGAAGAAAGCAGTGGCGAAGCTTCCATTAAAGCCGAAAAAAACCTGAATCAATCAATAATATCAACTAATAAAATAGATCGTAAAATGTTTCAAGCTATTTCAAATTTCCCGCGCACTCCACTGTTCGACACATGTCGACCGATGACCTCGTATTGCTTTAGCGATACTGCTGCTGTCATAAAAAATGAGTTTTAATAGAGCTAATAGTTGTCTCCCTCGCTCGCGTGGGCTTTTTTACGGGGCTTTCGAGAAGACGATCGCTCTCTTTCTAACCTATGGCAAAATATTCTATAATGAAATATAACTACGATTGTATATATAGCAATTAGTATAGGGATTTAAAGCCAGGCTTTTGGGAACAAATTTGTTAAAAGCGGAGGCGCGCGGGCAATACGTTTGCAAGTTCATTTCACGTTTCAATGTTTATTTACTCTGTGTGCTTATCTTAAGCGATTTAATATTACGAGTTCAAAATTTATGCTTTTTTAAAGATTTTTAATGAAAATGGAGGATAATAGTGTTCCTTGTGATGAATTGAAGTGTGTTAAAGTGATAATCGGAGAGGAAATCTTTAAACTTTGTTGAGATAATACACAAGGTTAAGAGTGTATTTCAGACTTATAAATTATCGCAATTAAAAACAGTTATTGGTACAATTAAAACGTTCACCAACATTTTACGTGGACGTAATTAAATCTTTCCATAAGAAAGCGAGACGATTCCACTTATCTTATCTTATCTCTTATCCATTAGAATGTAAATAAAATTTTTTTTAATTTTGTACATAGTTTGTTTTTTACTTTTGTTCATGTATTGTATTGGATGTAAATATTTTTTTTCTTTCGCTTAAACAAACCCAAACGGCTTTCTTCAAAGCCACCGAAGCTATGCAATTGCTGATATGTAATACAATCTATCTAGCAGTGGTATTCCTTCTGTGTGCTTTGTTAAACACGTCCTTGACAGCACTGAATATGAAACTGAAGCGTGGAGACAGATCAAGATTGGTGTATTTATATAAAACTGCAAAAAACAACAATCTATATTTTTATCAATTTATATCTTGGGCTTGCCCTAGCTTGGAGTTATAGCTTTGCCACTGGAAGAAAGGTTCTCGAGTGGCAGCCTCGTACCGGTAGGCGTAGTGTAGGGCGACCCCCCACTAGATGGAGTGACGACCTGGTAAGACATGCAGGAAGTCGATGAATGCAGGTGGCTCAGGACCGTGCTTTGTGGCATTACTTGGGGGAGGCCTATGTTCAGCAGTGGACTTGTGAAGGGCTGTAATGATGATGATGATGATGATATCACACCACTAACCGGAAGGGGTAAAATAGCGT